AGTTAAAAAGAGAAAAATTAGAAAAAATACCTCAAGAAAGCGCCTCGACAATCGAGCCCAAATAGAAAATAAAATCCGAGCAAAAATACAAAGAAAGGAAAGAATTTCTACTCTATATTACAACATATTCTTCTCTCGTTTGTCTTTTTCCTTACATTTAATGGTGGACCAGAGAGCCCAACAACCAAACCCGGCATTAAAAGGGGCTGAGGGGGGCCTTAAATTTTCCGCCGCCTTTGACATAACTAGTCCTGATATTTTCCAAGATCCTTCTCCTCTTTAACTTAACCCCTCGCAAATCTCAAAGATCGCACCTTTCTCTCTCCCCCTAATATATACTATGAAATGGGGTGTGTGTGTGTGTGTGTGTGTTTGTGCTTTACCTTTGGGTGTGTGTGTGTGTGTGTTTATTTGTGTGTGTGTGTGTGTGTGTGTGTGTGGTGGGGACTGGGAATGGACTGAAAACACTGATGAACTTGTCTGCTTTATTTTATTCTGAATCTTGCAGAGGAGGGCAGAGGAGAGAGAAGAGTGTAAGTGTGGTGTGTGCGTGTGCAGTGTGTGTTTGTGTGGACGCTACAGTAAATACAGTGGAAACAGGGGGGGCTCTTTATTTGAATGAAGCTTTATGCCGTAATTGCACGCGAGCACACATTGGTGTTATTATTGTTTTATTTTAGGAAAATGTTATTCCGTCCAGATTTGTAACCGTTAGATCATCATGTAATTGTTGGAGATAGTTGATCTAACGGTTACAAACTCCAACGGAATGGTTTCGTAACGGGATCATAACATCTTCCTTTATTTTAAAGTCTTGATTCTTTTTCGTTATTTATTTATTTATTTATTTATTTGTATATTGTGATTTTTTTAAAAAAAAAATGAAACCGTAAGATCTAATAATATTATCTAAACAAAAAGTATTGCATAAAAAAAATATTTAATAATATATATTTCATTATTTGTATTTATTAATACATAGCCGTGCGATGCACGAGATAGAAATGTTAAATGCATCACTAACATATGGTCGATCTACACAAAAGAAAAAAGTACAGTTGGACCATATATTCTCCACTACTTTCAATCAGAGTTTTTTTAGCCAAAGTGTTAAACTTGAGTCGGTTAACACTAACAGGTAAATTAATTAATATATTATCTTGCTAACAGGTTTATACTAATTTAAATTTAATTATAGTGTATAAATTTAATATTTCATATAAAAAAATAACAATTTTACTTAGTCTTCTTAACTACGTAATATTTAGTTACTATTTTATTATAATATTTATAAAAGTTATAGAAACAGTCTTCTTCTTATTTTTATTTAAGGTAATAGAAATATTTAATGTACGTTAATATTATTTACTAATGTAATTAATATAAATTATGTAAATAAATTAAAAATAAAAGACGTTTACTAAGATAAAATAGAAATGTTTCCTTCCAGTATTCATTTAGGTAGGATTTTTTTTTATTTTTAGAATTCAAATATAACAAACCCCATAATTTATGGTAGCATTAAATGTGCCAGATTTTTTATAAGTAAAAAATAAAATAAATTTGAAAAAACATTACAAAAATAGAATGTATTAATTATCCTTTGACTTTCCTTGATACTAATTTTAGTAAATATGATGATTCTTTATATATACTAGTACGTACCCCGTGCGACGCACGGGACAGAGATATTAAATAAGTTATTTTCACAGCCTTTTCCATTTAAGTTTAAAAAGTAATAGGGTTATTATCTATTTTCTACCTCTTTTAATCAACGTTAAGTCTAAAAAACAATAGGGTTCTAAGCTTTTTTCCATATCTTTTAACCAATGTTTTTTAGCCAGAACATTAAATATGAGCATGCTAGGGTTAGCTTGTAAAATAATTAATATATTATCTCACTAAAACATTTATACTAATAAAAAATTAATTTTAGCATATAAATTTATCCCTTGATATAAGATAAAGTAATAGTTTTACTTATTCTTGTTCACCATATAACATTTAATTATTATTTTATTATATAATAAAAAGAAATCTATGAAAATTGTTAAGCCGCATTCTGACAAATATGTATGAAATTATGTGTACGTGTCTCATAAGTCACAAACATAATGAATAACATTACAAATTATTCATTCAAACATTTATTCATTGAAAATATATTAAAATAGTTTATATAACGGCCATTAAATACCACTTTCAACATATTTATAAATAAAAAAAAATAAAATTTCTGGTGTGTTTAAATTTAAGTAATTTTTTATGGGTTCAATTTTAAATCATCCAAAACATTTGGTCAAACGCATAGGTGTGTTCAAATTTAAATCATTGGAATTTTATTTGGTTGAAATTTAAATCATCTATCATGGTACTGTGATGTGTATTATATATATATTCACAATTTTTTAATAAATAATATGTGCTTTATAAAAATAATAATAATAATTTCACAATATTTTAAATATAAAATCTGGTTTTTTAATCACAATAGAAAAATTATGATAAGTTGTATTGAAAATGTGTTATGGGATAAAACAATTAAATAAAATAATTAAATAAAATACTTGATGGAAATAGAATGCATTAATTGTCTTTGACTTTTTTTACTACTAATTTTGGTAAATAGGATGACTTTTTATATAAGTATATATATGATATGGGATATTATACCCACAAGGCTGAACCGGTCTGTTGACCGGTCGAGGGGGTCGTACTATGAGGAAGCAAAAGAAATCGAGCAGTCAACTAGTCGACCAAGCAAGGCTGTCGACCAAACTATCCTTTGACCAGATACACGATCGAGCAACCTATTCGACCTCGACAGGTCGATTACCTCGAGG